AAGAAAAGCTGTGTGAATAAATCGTCACCTTAAATTTCACACCATCAAACAATATAAAGAAACAGAAAATACTCATACGTGTTTTTGTGACAGAAATAAAAATCACGCCGGACAACGGGGATAAGAATGATCTCTCTCGGAGGTTTCTCTGCCCGACCTGTTTGAGACCACTGATACATACTGTGTTTTCATCTTCGCGTGGCTTTCGAATGTAACATCAATGCCAATTTTCTCCTTAGACAATGTCCATGATCCCAAGAATAAAGTCATATTCTACAAGTGCTTTCATCTGTTGCACTGTTAATTTTTACGTTTGCATTAAGTAGAATACAATTGAATAGGACACAGATAATTCTTACAAAGAAAATACATACAAACTCCAACTGTTTGTTTTACTTTACACTTTCCCCACTTTTCTATATATATGCTACTATTTCCATTTTTTCTCCACCTCACTCCTTCACAAAACACACTGTTTTGTTGTTGGTGATGGTATTTTTTTCAGAGTAGCAGCATTATCTAGTCAGAGATGAACGTGGGAAGAAAATCCCCACAGATAATTCAAAACCATTATTTTACTTAGAAATAACAGCTCAAAACATAACAACTCAAAATATTATTACAGACGCTATGGTTTAGACGTTTCCCAGAAACCATATATTGGAAACTTAATCCTGAACGCAACAGCGCTGAGGTAGGAGGGGCTACACCCTCGTGAATGGATCGGTACCATTGTGAGAGCGGATCTGTCAGGAAAGCAAGGTCAGCCGCCTCTCACTTTTTCTGAGATGTGGTCCTTTGACTATCTACCCTCCATTACGGATGGATGCAGCAAGGAGGCCCTCACAAAATGCAGCTCCTCAATCTTGAACTTCCCAGCATCCAGAACCCTGAGTCAAACAAATTTCTTTTCATTATGCATTACTCAGTCTGCGGGATTCTGTCACAGCAGCATAAAAATGAACTAAAACGGAAAACGATACCAAGAGTGGGGCCGCTGCTACAGCACATATCTGAAAGTCTGGCAGCAGCCTGAAAACAGGGGAATGGGTAGAGGCTGGAAGAATGTGAAGGAGAAAACTAGAAAAGCCAATTAGCCATGAATGGGGCATTAGGGGTGATTCTGTGACAACTCAGAAGACAAAAAATGTAAAGAAAGTCTGGATTTCCTGGGGATTCTTTGAGTGGTGAAGACCAGAATGTGGGTAGAACTACGGAAGGTAAAGGCTACTATGATGAAGTCTCAGGTGGAATTTAGGAAGAAGGTATCGGAAACTGGAATGAAAGCCGTTCTCGTTATATAGTTGCAAAGAACTTGACAAAGTTGTGTTCATTTCCTAGAACTCTGTGGAAGGCAGAACTTAAGAGCACCAACTATTTACAGGTATCTGGAAGAAGAAATACATAAGGAGCAAGAGTTCAAGGTGCTGCCCGGCTTCTTCTGGCAGCCTACGGTAAAATGAAAGGAGAGAGAATGAAGTCAAGACAGAATTTATGATTAAAAGGGAAGTAGAATGGAATCATTCGGAAAACTCTCGGCCTTGCCACGCAGGGAACAGAAAAGTATATTCGGAAGAGAATACCGACGGTGTGGCCAAGCTGTGGTTGCTAAGGAGCTTAATACAGATGGCAGAAAGCCAGGTTTTACCCATCGAAGCAATGGAAGAATGGCCTCAGAGTTATTTCTGAGATCTCTGGGCAAGCGAGGACATGGAGAGCAAAGTTTACAGAGTTGCCAGTGGAACCCCCTGTTCGCTGCCCTGCTCCTCCTTGGGGCCCTGCTCCTGGGATTGCAGTGCGGCAGCCCTTAGCCACCCAGGTCACGGTCAAGGGCACCCGTCACTTGGAGACACAAGATGTAAACCATGGTAGTGTCCCTGCGGTGCTCATTCTGCAGCTGCGCAGAACCTAAGAACTGTGGGGCCGTGGCAGCTCCACCTAGATTTCGCAGGACGTTGCTTAAATCCTTGGGACTCGGGCAGAGACTTGTCCTAGTGACAAAGCGACCAAATAGACCTCTACTAAGATAATACCAAGTGAGAACACAGGAGCAAGGCCACCAAGAAATCCCCACTAAAGCAACGTGCAGTGGAATCATGATGGTGGAGAAGCCTCCGAAATCCCAGAACTGTAGGGCCGTCAGTGGACAGCTGGAGTCAGGAGAGCTGCAGGCACGTGACCTTGACCTACAAGAGCTGCCGCGAGGACTGAGCCTAGAACAGCCATGGGGGCAGAGCTGTCTGTGGCTGGGGGTCCAGCCCCACCCCAGTGTGTCCGGGACGCTGCACATGGAATCAAAGAAAGTTATTCTCCAGCTTTAAGTCTCCATGTTGTTTTCCTTCTTGCATGTTGGGCTGACTTAGCACCAGGCACCCGTTATTCTTACCTATTTCTCCCTTTTGGAATGGAAATGTTGATCCAGGGCCTGGCCCGCCATTGTCTTTCTGAAGGACTTAACTTTCTCATTTCCCAGGATCACAGCTGGAGGGACGTTTGTCTCTGGGTCCCCAAGCGCTGCTCCTGGCTCCCATCACCATCCATGTCCTTCCTCTTGTCTGCTGTCGTTCTGCCTCTCCCACCCGACACAGCTGCCCTGCTGTGGCCCTGGCCCGGTAGCCAGGTCCCCTGCAGGCGTTGACTGCTCTCTGGGGACCTGATTCCTTTGCCTCCCAAAACCATCAATAACCTTCTTTCTCGACTTTTCTCTTTTAGTGGCCTTGCCTGTCCCTGCCACAAACAACAGGGATGGGAATGTCCACATCTTTGGTCTGTTGGTCCGGGGCTCTGGGTCAGCGAGATGACTCATCTTCTCTGGGACTAGGGAACCAGAGGTGTGGGTCTATCTCAGAGCCCAGGCCCGAGGGGCAGGACATGGCGGGGGTCTTCTGGCAGTGGCTCCTAGTAGGGTCGGCAGAGGCACGGCCACAGCGAAAGTCACAGGTGGGCCCCGTGGGCAGAGGAAGCCTCACAGTCAGAACCTCCCCTCCCATGGGAAGGGTCCAGGGTCTCTGAGCCAGTGGAGAATGCAGAGGAGGTGGGGAGGGGACGGGGGAGATGCTCTGGAGAGGCGTCCTGCCCCTCCCTGGTCTTGGGGCCCGAGTCACAGCTTGGGGCCCCTGGGGGGCTCCGAGGCCTGCCGCCAGAGCGCCCACTCCCGTGCAGTCTTCTGGAGGGCCTGGGTCTTCACCTCATCCACCTGGACATAGTGCACCTCCTCGCGGGGACGCACAGCGGACGGGGATGGCTGAGGGGACAGAGTGGGGATGGGGGTGTGTGTGAGCTGCTAACAAGACGAGGTCAAAGACAGTAGGTGCATCCTGAGCTGTCTTGGAGAAAGGCCCTGCCTGTCCCCCCGGCTGGCCTCTGGAGCCTGCCTTCTCTTCCTGGGCGTGGGCTTTAACGCCCGAACTCCAGCCTGCCGGCCCTCCTGCCGGATGCCGCAGCCCTGCCAGCCCTTCGCACTTCCCAGCTCCCGGGAGGCCCAGCCCTTCCTCAGCCTGGCGCACGGCCAAGCCTTCCCCCTCTGCCTCGGGCTGCCCATCCAGGGGGAAGAGTCTGGGTGTCCTGGGGAGCCCATGCGCCTGCCCCCATCGTTCGCAACAGATGGCTACATGTGCTGCCTGGAGAAGCTTCCCTGGGCCCAACGTCCCTTCCCAATGTCACCGTACCGATGCACAGGGCTGTGAGACCCACCCAGATGCAGAGTTCTCCCCAGAGAAGAGCACAGGCCCAGGAGCGGGACAGGAGCCTCTGCAGGTCAGGTCTCTACAAGGGGCTGGGCCAAGCGGGAGCCCTGAGCCCCAGACCGCAGCACCCAGCTCGTGAAAGCCAGCCCCACGGTCCGGGGCTGGGAGCTCCACTGACCCCACCTCTGCCCCAGGCACCTTGCACAGCTCGAAGTCCAGACTCACGTAGTTGATGCTGTCAGGGCTCCTCCCAGGGGCTGGGCTCTCGGTGCAGGGGCGAACCGGAGATGCACATGCCGAGTTCTGATACTGCCAGGGGGAGAAAACCGCTGGTGAGTTCAGGGAACAGACTGACCCACACCCAGAGAAACAGCCCTCTGGGAGCGGGGCTCCAGGTCCACCGAGTCCTACTCTGACCACGCACTGGGACTGCTCCTGCTCTCATCTGTGTCCTCACGGCGATCCCGCGATGTGGGCACGGTCCCTGCTCCCGCTGTTTGACACACAAGCAGACCTGCGGTTCTGAGCAGGGGGTGACCTGCCAGGTCTGGTTTCTGACCTAAACCTGCCTTAGCCCCACGCACCACGCGGCTTCGCTCCCGGGGCATCGGGCCAGATCTCACGTACGCCCCTTCTCAGTCCCACCTCTGCGTGCCGGCCCCTAGGAAGGAAGCCCACTTCCTGCACCCGCTGGGTGCCGAACCTTGTACCATCGGGACCAGAGGGGGCAGTGACACGGAGCAGCTCGCTTCCCCCCGCGGCTCCCAGAGTCCTGACAGAGCTGTGTCGCCTCTACGCTGCAGGAGCTGCTCCTGCGGATGACAGACCCTGAGTCCGGCCACCGGCTCGAGGAGACCGCCCCCTTTCTGGGGCTTTCCTGATGTCTAATTCTACTGAGAAAGGCCCTGGGTTTTCCTTCCAAGCTGCTGTGTGGGCTGCTGGATTCACTCTCTCAGCACCTGGGCAGCAACTCCCAAGCGCGGGGCAGCTGGCCTCTGTCCGACAGCATCCCAGGGAGGAAGGGACGCTCTGCCCGTGTTGACGTCTGCCACGGCCCCCACCTCCGTGATCACGGACACGTGTCTCTCCCACTGCTGAGCAGGAAACTCTGGCTCTACCTGTCCAGGGGCAGGGTCTCGCCACCGTGGCGGTCACGAGGGAGGCACGCTGCCTCTGCCTCCTAAGACCGAGACTTCCTTAGGGGCAGGGACCACATCGTCCTCTTGCTCAAGGACTGCTGGATGCGCACGTGCTCAGGAAGGACTTGCAGCAGGAGATGAGATCACAAACGACACCGGGACGGCCTGGCTCAGGTGAGGTGGCTGAGTGGGGAGGTGGGGACCTTAGCAAAAGGCCGTAGGGGACTCTGACGGGTGTCTGTCAGCGACCCCGGGACTCACCAAATGTGCGGGGCTCTCAGAATCATCACCTGAGTCTGCGCTGGTGCTGGTCTCGGTGGAGACGGGGCAGTGGCCCTGGGAGCTGTGGCTGTCGTGGGAAGAAGATGAGAGGCACAGAGAGCAGGCCTCAGGGTGTCGTCGAGCCTCGGCCCCCAGTTGGCCCGTCCCGCACGCACCCTGACCGCACGCTCTCTCCTCAGGTTCAGATCTCATGAGGGGCGGGAATAATCCCAGCCCCACCAGACCCAGGGACACAGTCAGCTGACGTCAGTATTGGTGGCGGAATCCATCTGTCCTGACCCGCGGACCAGCAACTGTGTGCTCGTCTCCTGCAACGGCCGACCCAGGCTCCCGCGTCCACACGGACACTCACCTGGGCCCGAGCTCAGAGCTGGTGCCAAGTGACGTCAAAGGGCATTCATCGATGACAGCGACGTTTGTCAGGGGGAGAGGTGTCGGCTTTGCTGAAGAAGGAAGCCAGTGATGACACCACTTACACGCGACACACAAGGTGTCTGCAGAGGCCCCCCAACAGGCCAGGTGTACACAGAGGCTGAGGCCCAGAAAGGTTACATCACCTTTGCCCATGGTGACAGGCCTTAGGGTCACGGGTCAGATCCCACTGTACCCGTGGCAATCATACCGTACTCTCATAATCCAAAACAGGGACATGTGGTTTGACATTTTCTGCTGAGGTTTACAAGCTAAGTGGAAATGGCCACCGTGACTGCTCCCTGCCACTCCTGGCCAGCTGTGCAGCCCGTGGCGGAGGCAGCTGGATGCCAGGAGGTGTGGAGGCCTCACGCTGTGCGCCGAGATCAAAGCCCCTGTCGGCCAGACCCAAGGGGCCGACGCCACCTGGATCCCCTCTCGTCCCTGAGCCCAGTGCTGGTCCAAGGCCCACAGGGCCAGGTGGCGGCAGACAGGGACCTGAACTGCAGCTCCTCTTGCTGGTCCACGTGCAGGGCACAGACCCAGCCTCAGTGGACACCAGCTCCATGCCAGAGCCCCTCTCCTGGCCACTCTCCTTCTAAACACAGCTGGGAGGCAGGAGTTATTGCCCCCATTGCACAGATGGGAAAACTGGGGCTCAGAGAATTCGCATCATTTGCCCAAAGTCACAAAGCCCACGTCTAAGATCCGTCTGAGCCCTGGGCAGATGCAAACAGTCCCTGGATTATGTCCAGAGAAGGGATGGGGCAAGAGCAGGCTTACTTTTCCGGCCAGGCTTGAGGCTGCGGTCGACAGGGGGCGGCAGAAGCTCACGTTCCTGCCTGGGGCTGCGGTACCCATCAAGGGCAGTGGGCAGGGAGCCATGCGAGTCAGAGCGGCGGCGCCCCGGGCTGGGGGGGATGTGGACGTTAGCACGTTCCCGCTCCAAGGCCAGCAGGACAGGGAGACCTGGCTGCATAGGCACATAGTCGTCTTCGTCACTGGCGCTGCGCAGTGGGCGCACAGCTGCTTTCCTCAGCTAGGGAGAGGGGCACAGAAAGAAACACGGCTGATACTAGCCAGGAAAAACAAGAAGGGGTGGGAGTTTCTATACGACGCAGGAAAAGTCACGGCAAGTCACGACCGGGTGTTTCGAATGAATCTCTATATCAGGTCAGCTGGTGGCCACTGTCCTGAGCAGCCATCCGAGGCCCGGAGAGAAGAGCCCCAGCCAGGATCCCCCTGCACGGGGCCTCTTGGGGCTGCTCCAGGGTTGGATTGGGAGAGGCTCCCATGACAGGAGCACAGTGTGACAACTGAGGAGATTTTAGTGCTTACAGGCCCTGGGGGCACACGGCACACCGCGGGGACACGCATGTGGCGGTCAGCGGCGTGGGCAGAGAGAGAGGAGACAGCGTGGCAGCTGGCGATGGAACAGACCCGAGAACTTTGAGTTCTCACGGAAATGCCTGAACAGACCATTTACAGGAAGCAGCAGGAAGGCAGGGACCCAGCTGGCTGGGCACGAGAGATGCCTCCCAGTTCTCATCTCTGGCCACGGGCGTGGGCCTTCTGGGTGTGGTCAGGATCTTGAACCTGTGTCAGGGAAACTGAGGCCTGCTTCCGGTCTGAGCAAGTGGAAGCTGCATTCGGATCGGCTGTGAGGCCCTCCCCACACTGGGTCAGCTGCGCTCCAAGATACAGGGAGACCTTGGCAAGACTCAGTAACACAGTAGAGTGGAGACGGGGGGAAATGAGGTCTGTGGGTCCCTTCTAGCATCCAAGACCCCTGGAGAGCCACTGCAACTTGTCACGGATCTATAGGGGAAATATCCTGGTGGCCGGGTATACACAGGTTTCTGGATCCTGACCAGGCAGAGGGTGGCGCAGGTGTGGACTGTGCAGGTCTGGCTCGGCCCCTGCCATCCGCCTCAGGTCACACTCGCCGCTGCAGGTGAGCGTCTCTGGCTCTGATCTGGGCTCACCCAGGGACCTAGGGGTCACCAAGCAGCAGGCAGAGCTGCCACAGAGCTGTGTGGCTGCGGCTTCCTCCGACTTCTGCCCTGTCTGCCCTTCGCCTTGGGGACCTAGTCCTGCTTTGCAGGGGGCCTGAAGCCAGCCCGTCCGCCTGCCTGGCACCCTGCAGACCTGTGGTCAGGTTGCCTTCCACAGGGTGGCCTGGGATCCACGACCCGGCCTGACCCTGAGCACACTCCTGCCTGGAGTCTCACACTCGGCACCCTCCTCCAGGGAGGCTGCGGTGGGGCTGCTGCCTGGGGACATCCCCCCAGCAGGCTGGACTCTCTGCTCACCTGCAGCGTTGTTCAGCCTCGGGACTCAGTCTTCCCAAGCACGCACATTTCTCCAACTAGGCTACCCGCCTCTTACCTGTCCAAAAACTCAACCTGGAGTTCTCAACTGAGACAAGAACCTTGGCAAGGCTCTAGGAGGAAGACAACGACACTCTCGGGGTGTGCTTTCAGTGCCACGGGTGTGGCCTTTGACGAACCTGCGTGGTCTCAGGACCCCGGTTAACCCGACTCACCGGGAGGGTACTGCTTCGTTCCCTCATGGACGCAGCGGGCACGCCTGCACTTTTTTTACGCTCCTCAGCCTTCACACACATCCGACAGGTGCAAGCTATGACAGAGGAAGCAAAGTGCACACGTGCGCATGTCCATCTGGGCGTGGACACGGCCGCATCCCGCAGCAGCGCTGCTCAGGGCCTCGCTCACACCCCGGGAGGCGCCGCCCTCGGCCCCCGTGGCCAGGCTTTCTCCTGCACACCACCCTCCGCCCGCTCTCCTCCTGGGCTTCCAGACACCGCACAGCGTACGCCTCGCAGGGTCCCCTCGACTCTGCCCTCACGGTGCAACTCTGTCCCCTCCCACAGCCCCAGCCGGTGTCCTGCTCACTCCACCTGTCACCTCCAGGAACACAGGTGACGGTACTTGTACTAACTTACACACGCCGGTTTGATTTTACTTTATACACAGATGTGAGCTCTGACGGGCAGGGCCCCCTTTTTTATACGTCTCGAGCATCTCAGATCCAAAGCACACGGTGACGGCCCACACTGTGGGCAGAGTGAGGAGACTGTGGAGTCTCAGCCAGGAGCCAGGACCCCGGGTCTGAGTCTCGGCCCCGCCACGGCGGCTCTGAGCCCTGCCTGAGTCTCCTGAATGCCTCGGGCCACGCATGAGACAGAGACGAGGCTCTGTCCCACCAAACTGTCTGCGTGGCTGCAGCAACAGGATGGACGGACAAAGGCTTTGCAAGATAGAAAACACGATGCAAAATGGAAAGAATTAACGTGGTTCTATGTTGTCACCACACAGAGATTATAGGCAGAGACGGAACACGCTCAGTGGAAAACAAACGACAACAGGATTTAGGGATTTCAAATACAAGTTGAGATTTCAAAGGAATTAAATAACGTACGGCTTAGAAAACATTCCGAACATCTCCTTTTGTTTCACTCGGCTGCTAGCCCACGTGGCTTTCGCTCACTTGGGACTGCTCTTCCAAATCCACTTTTTCCATCTTTACTTTGATTTATATAAATTCAATACAATGACTTAGACTCCCAAACCCGTATCGTGTTCCGTACCCAAGCACGTTCCGTCTCCCTTGGTAGAACACTGGCTGCTCCGAGGCAGGGTCTGCCGCACCCTTGCCATGGTGGGTGCTCACTGACAGCGGCCAGTGCTGGGGGACCAGCTGGCAAGGGTTGGGCAGAGGATGACAGACTCGTGAGAACCAGCCCTCGCAGCGGCTGCTGAGTATCCCTTGGCCATAGGGACCAAGGGTCAGTAGAACAACGAGACCCCCGTGCCACCTCCCTCTCGCTCTGCCCCGCGGCAGGGCTGACACTGACCTCGGACACGTCGGCCACTGGCCGCTGCGGGAAGGGTACTGTTCCTGGGCATGGGGGCAGCGACAGAGACCAGTCGGCTACTTTTCCCCATCGAAGGCCTCTCCTCACGGCTGCCCCGCTGAGCTGTTTCCATCTCGTTGGGCTTGGTGTGCCCTGGCTGGGGCAATTCTGACTCCTGCCGGCTCTGCTTGGGACGGCTACAGATGCCAGGGGTCTGACCGCAGGCCCAGCAAATGCAGTTTCCTGCGCACCAGGGAGGTGTCTGCACGCCTATGCTTCTCCGCATGAGGGACGAGACCCCGAAGCCCTCAGCCAAGTTGGCACACCTGCGGAGAGAAGGGAGGGAAGGCACAGGGGTGCGAGGAGGCCAGGACTGCCCGGGAGGCTGGCTGGGAAGCTCGAAGCCCCACGCCGCCCGCGCCGTGGGTCGCTGGAGGGAGCGCAGGCTGAGGAGTCAGGCGGGCCTGAGGTTCCCCTGGGATCTGCCGTTTGCTGGCTGGGAGGTGAGGCAGGCACCTCCTCCTTCCAAACTTCGAAGTATTTCTTTCGTGTCTGTCTGTCTGTCCAGCAGGGTAGCAGCTGGCTGCATGAAGTGCTGAGCATTTGAAATGTGGCCAGTGACCCTGGGAACTGAAGCTTAAATCCCATTTAATTTAAATAGATGTGAATTTAAATAGCCCTGAGTGGAGAGCTGCTATCACAGGGACTAGGGCCTGCAGCAAGAGTGAGATAGGCATCTGCTCAATGTTACCGTTGCAATTCAGAAACTCTAGCCCCTAATGCCATTTTCCTCCAAATAATTTTTTTTTTTTTCCTGAAGAAAAGGGAGGGAGGAAGGGAGGGAAAAAGAAGGAAGGAGGAAGGCCAAATCAAAAAAAAATTTTTTTTTTTAAATCAAAAATTTTATGGCATTAGTTTTTATACTGGGAAGCTGCTCTGGAACCCAATTACATCTTTGAATGTAAAAAAAAAAATTATGTTTTGTTACAGGTGTGTTTGCCTGTTTACCTGTTTACCCGCATTCTATCCTCTTGTCTTTAAAATAAAACCACCAGGACTGAAAAGCCACAGCCCTGTGAGGGGTGCTCACCCACCTGCTGGCTGTGAGGACCTCCCTCGGCACACTTCCTGCTGTCCCGCTCACACAGTGATGCAAGGAGAGGTACTCCCGGGGGGCGCAGGCGGACGGGGTGGGCTGCACCGGGCCTGAGTCGCGGACGGACCAGGTGGGCTGCACAGGGCCTGAGCTGCGGGTGGGCGGGGTGGGCTGCACCGGGCTCGAGTCGCGGGCGGACCAGGTGGGCTGCACAGTGTCTGAGCTGCGGGGGGGCGGGGTGGGCTGCACAGGGCCTGAGCTGCGGGCGGACTGGGTGGGCTGCACAGGGCTTGAGTCGCAGGCGGACCAGGTGGGCCGCACAGGGCCTGAGTTGCGGGCGGACCAGGTGGGCTGCACAGGGCTTGAGTCGCGGACGGACCAGGTGGGCTGCACAGGGCCTGAGCTGCGGGTGGGCGGGGTGGGCTGCACAGGGCTCAAGTCGCGGGCGGACCAGGTGGGCTGCACAGGGCTGGAGTCGCGGACGGACCAGGTGGGCTGCACAGTGTCTAAGCTGCGGGGGGGCGGGGTGGGCTGCACAGGGCTTGAGTCGCGGGCGGACCAGGTGGGCTGCACAGGGCCGCGGGGCTCAGGTGTGGACAGAGCTGGCTGGCCTTGATTGGAAGGGCTGGGCCCAGCTGGAACGGACCCGGGGCCCCGGCTGGCTGAGGAACCATTCCTTTGGGACTCTGTGAATGACAGGGGAGGGAGAGTGTCCTTTGCCAGCACTCGGCTGTCAGAGGAAGAAAAACAACATGGCACCAGTGGCCTTCTCTGCCTCTCCCAGGCCTGACCCCTCTACCCTCCCAGAGCAGGGCTGGGCCTCAGGCCGTCCAGGCCGAGGAGGAGGAGACGCTCTGGCTCGGCACAGGCCCTGGAGCAGCCCGGAGCGACTTCCTACCACCCCGAGCTGCGCTACCAGGGCTGTGGCCGCCCATGGCGCCCGGGCCCCAGGCAAGGGCAGCCTCTGGAGTGAAGACTTCCACACCTCGCTCCTCTTTGGCGGCTCCTGCTGCCTTCGCCTTCAGAGCTAAGGCTGCTTTCTTAGGCGATGCTTGCTTACCCAAGGTGGCTTCGCTGAGGCCCCGGACTGTGCCCCAGGCAGGAAAGATACAAACACAAGTGTACTTGGAGCTGTGGCTCCAGACTGGACCCGGCTCCTCCTGCCTGCCCTTCCATGCCCCGGGGGGCAGCTGCATTCCCCACTTGCCCACTCCCCCACTCTCCATCAGACTTTTTCTCTAGGAACTCGGGGATCAGACAGTCTTCTGTTGTCTGAGCGAGCAAGTGAGGCATCCAGCACAGACAGCAGCTGGAAGGCCGCGTGCCCAGCCCAGGGCAGCGTTGATCGGCTGACCCTAACCCTGACACGAATGCGTATGTCCCTAGTAGTGCATGTTGCATGGGTCCTGGCCCTCGTGCTTTCTAAATGCTCCTCCTCAATTGACATGGACCCGGGTTGGAGAATTAGTCACTGAAACCGCACACCTGCCTCAGAGAAAGCTCCTCCTCAACCGTCTCGGGCAGTTCAGCTTGAGTCGAAACAACTGCCAGGGACTATTTCTACCGTTTAAAACTCATTCCCAGAACCTGAACTACTCTGCTGTGAAGGTTCTCAGAACCCAAACATAAAGCATCTGCTCCTCCCACCTGTCCCCTCCCAAGCGAACAGGAAGGAACCCCCGATCCTCCATCAACCACCGCAAAGGACCCTAAGCAAGAAAACCCGAAAGCACAGAGCCCAGTGCCACTGTGCAGGGTGGTCTGAAATACAGGAACCAGGAAGAGCCAGGGACTAGGAGAGCCAGAGACGGCCAGGAGACCCCAGGTGACACCTTCCCTGGGGGCAGCTACAGGGCACAGGGTCAGGAGAGTGCGGGGATGGGAGAGGCAGGGGCTGAGGATTAGCAGTGGTGTCAGCTGCCTGAAGAAACACCACGGAACACCTCCAGCTTCGGCACAAGCCCCCATTTCCTGGTTCCCCATTTGAGCGTAACTGGGGCCAGGAGTCCCCCTAACACCTGGCTGACCCCTCACACTCTTCCCCTCTGGCTCTCACTCCGCTGTCAGCCAGGAAAGCTCAGCGGGAGGTGCCCCCGTCGCCAAGGTTCTGAGCGACTCCTCTCAGCCCCTCCTGACGAGGGCCCCTGTTTGTTCTCCTACCTCCTCTCTCCTGAGTCTGCCGGAAGCCAGCGACCTGGCAGATGCTCTCGACCCACTTTTCCATGTCCTCCCGTGTCTCAGCCACCAGGTAAAAGGTGCGCTCGGTGGTCCTGATGCTAAACACAAAACTCCCCCGCAACTCCTTCCTGTTGATGTTCAGGTTCACACCTGCGTCCACCTGATCGCAGGACTTCAGGTCGATGACCCGCATGGGCTTCCGGGTGTGTTTATTCTTGTAGTATTCTAGAACATCCGGGTCACCGCTCGTCTTGCCCCTCCGCAGGATAAACCAGCGTTGCTTCCAGGCCTAAATCCCACCGGGGAGGAGTAAGCAGAAGGAACAATTCATTAGTGAGTACGAAGCTCTTAACAGGTCCTCAGCCGTCACCCAGTTGAGGGCAGGGGCCTGGGCCTTGCACGTGGCCGAAGCCTGCCCTTCAGGTTCCCCAGAGTTCAAAGGATGAACTCAGAACGCACGTGAGTGCGGCGTCTCCCCGTGGCCACAGGCCTCGTCGCTCCACAGGAAGATGCGGAACGTCCAGGCTTTAGGTCACGAGGTGTGTGGTTTCTGATGGACTCATTCACCTGTTTGGATGCTACCTCAGATGTGTGATGGGGTCCCCTCCACCCGCCCCACCTACGTCAGGGTCACAGTCACGCAAAGGGACCCAACCCCCCTCGCAGACAACCCTCAAGCACTGTTAATGCCAAGGATTTGCTCACGATCACGGGGACCTGCATTCCGAGGCCCACGGCCTTGTGCCTCTCGCCTTTGCTCTCTGTCCCCAGTTCCCTCCTCACCCAACTCTGCTTCTGTGATCCCTGATTACGATCGCCCCCTTGCTTCTTGGTCCCTTCCCCTCTTTTGTGTCCCCGTGAAGTCATTTTTGTTGTTCTTGTTGGTGGTGGTTGTTTCTGGCTACACCGATGTATCGCACGGCGGTGCAGTCAGGGCCTTCGGGGCACCCATCAGGGGAGCGATGCACACTGCACCCACCAGACAACTGCCCGGCACCCCCCACACCCCGAGTCTCCACCGCCCATCTCCACACTCTGCTTCCATGAGGACACACCATTCAGCTCCCACTGGTAGGTGAGAACGTGGTATTTGTGTCTCATTTGTTTCTCTTAAGATAATGGCCTCCAGTTTCGTGCGTGTTTCTGCGAAAACCGTGAATTTACTCTTTTATATGGCTGAGTAATAATCCACGGTCTATATACACCACAGGTTCTTTATCCTCCACTGATGGACACTTACGCTGATTCCGCATCTTCGCTGCTGCAGATAGCGCTGTGATAAACACGAGTGCCAGTTTCTTTTTTATACGCTGATTTTCTTTCCTTTCACAAGATACCCGGAAGTCGGACTGCAGGAGCAAATGGTAGTTTTGGTTTGAGTCCTCTGAGAAACCTTCATACTGTTTTCCAGAGAGGTTTCACTGATTTACATTCCTAGCAACAGTGTCTTGGTGCCCTATTCTCTGCATCCTTGCCAACATCTATTTCTTCTGTTTTTAGTAGCAGCCATTCTGATCGGCGTAAGACGATCTCTCGTTGTGGTTTTAATTTGCATTTCCCTGATAATTAGTGGTGTTGTCACTGGGCTTCTCAGACACTCTGGATACCAGTCCCCTGCTGGATGTACAGTTTTCAAATATTTTCTCCCTTCCTGCAGGTTACCTGTTCGTTCTGTTGTTGATCATTTCTTTGGCTGCCGAGCACCAAATCGATACACTTATCTGACAAGATTAGTGAGAGATCTGAAGGTACTTTCTAGAAGATGCAACACTAAAGACCTAATTGAAAGCAAGTTCCTCCCGACTCAGTTACGATACTTGGCTGTCTTCTTGCCTCGGCTTCCTACATCGTACAAGTGAACTCAAAATAACGGGAAAAAAGGCGGGTGAGGCTTTCCTTGAGGAAAGAACTGACCACCCAGTTGACCGACAGAACAGGCACTGCTTGGGCTGACGATGTGAGAAAATGACTTTCTTACAGAAATTTCCGTCAGAACGCAATGAGAAGATGAGAAATTGTTTTCCAGCTCTAGACTGGAACTCAGCAGACCCGGCTTCTAAATCGAACATTCAAACTCACTCATTCCGAGAGCTTGAGTACAAAGACACTGGGTTTCGACTGCACTGACTCAAGCTGAATTTGGGGAAGACTCATCTGTTAACAACACTGAGTCTCTCCATGCACCAACATGACACATTTACCAATTTATTTAGCTCTCCTTTAATTTCTCTCAGCAATGTTTGCTAGTTTTCAATGCAGACATATTACATGTTGTTTTACTTTGAAATGTTTTGTGTTTTCATGCTCTTATAATTAAAAATATTTCATTTTATTTTCTAATTATGCAACCGTATTTCTAAGTACTGACAACAAAGTTTGTATATTGATCTTTACTCCTATGATCTTGCTAAATTCACTTAGCTGTGATACGGAATTTTAGGGGCAGATTTCCTAGAAATTCCTCTGTATACGATCATGTCTTCGGAGAATAAAGACAATTTTATTTCTTCCTTTACGATCTGTGTGCCCTTTTATTTCTTTTTACTACCCTGTTACACTCACTAGAACCTCCAGTCCAACATCCCATAAAAGTGGTAACCACAGACATGCTTGCTTTGCTCTTGACCTTAGGGCAAAGCATGACGTATTTTATAAATTAAAATAACATTAGCCGTAGGTTTTTCAGTGATATAAGTAATTTCCTAATCCTTTTTTGAAATCCTGCCAAATACTTTCTTGCATCTATTGAGATGATCAAGTGAGTTTTCTCCTTTATTCTCTCAATGGGATGAATCACAGCGTTCTGTTTGCAATTGTTAATGCATCTTTGCATCCCTTGTATTATGTCAACACCTGGGGCAACCGTGTGCAAAGCCGGGCTTCTAACCCCGCAGCCTGATTTCAGAGGCTCTGCCTGCTCTTCTGACATGAATGACCTGGGTGGGAGGAGGTCAGAGGAACGGTAGTGAGGGTGCCCGGACACAGGTGGGACTTAGCTGCACAATGGCATACTATACGCAGGTCCACAGGCAGGTGTCTGAAAGGTGCTGATTGCTCGGCTCTGGTCTTCATCCCCCCAGCACTCTTGTATCACCTGGCATGTACCTGCAATACTGAGCATGCACACTTGAACCGACACCGTTGTTCTTCCTGGGGGCGCACTGCTGACGGGGCTCTTTGCTTCGTCACCGTAGGCTACGGCTGTTTTTCCTAAGTGGACACTTGCTAGGTGTAAGGCACCGGACCAAGGCTTTTACTGCAGATGTTTCGCATCTTCAGAGCCACCCACCAGCCCAGGTTACTGTAAGGCTGGCCAGAAGTCCCCACAGGCACAGCAACGACAGCCCCGGCCCCTTCCCTGTTGGCCTGCAGCCGGGGCCAGGCGCTGGCCGAGCACGCTGAGCTCGGCTTCCTGCTCTTCCCAGCCGCTGCAGGCCAAACTCTCAGGCTTCCCACGACCACATCCTCCCTGAATGTTCCAAGACCCCCTTTTTCACCCGACAGATAAAAACCCTGCCTGAGTCCTGGGCGGCGCGACTTCTCAGGCCCTGACCGTCGGACCTGTGAACCTCGCCCAGGAGCGCTTGAATAAAGCCACCTGCTTGGCCTTAACTTATGTCCGCTGCTCTCTGCGCCCCCGAAAACCTTGCAGTTACCTGCTGTCCTCACGGCTCGGGTGGGGGGCGGCGGCAGGGAGCCTGGACACGGCGCTGCCGGACTCCGGGATTCTCCAACCCGTGCAATTGCGTTTAATCTGAGGAGGCCGTTGCTCGGCCTCCGTGTTCAAAACCGTTTCCACCGGACGGAGAATCGGCCCCACGGCGCAAGCCCTCGTGGCGCGCCCAGCCCCCCGCCCCCGGCCACACTCACGTGGTGCCGCAGCTTCTGCTCGGGCGGCGACTTCCGGAGCCAGCCGAGGCGCAACACGCAGCCGTCGGTGCTCATGGTGCCGCCGGGCCGCGGGGCGGCGCTCGCAGGGGAGGGCGCGCGGGGAAGGGCGCGCGGGGAAGGGCGCGCGCGACGGCGGGGACAGGGACCCGGGGGCGCGAGGACGGGCGCGGGGCGCAGACCCGGACGGGCAGGACGGAAGCCCACGAGGGCGCAGGCCCGGATGGGGCGAGGGGCGGGACCCCCCAATGGCGCACACCAGGATGGGGCGAGGGGAGGAGCGCACGAGGGCGCAGGCCCGGATGGGGGAGGCGGGGAGCCCCCCCCGCCCCGAGGGCGCAGACCCGGATGGGGCGAGGGGAGGAGCGCACGAGGGCGCAGGCCCGGATGGGAGGAGGCGGGATCCCCCCCGAATGGCGCAGACCGGATGGGGGAGGCGGGATCCCCCCCAATGGCGCAGACCGGATGGGGGAGGCGGGATCCCCCCCAATGGCGCAGACCGGATGGGGCGAGGGGAGGAGCGCACGAGGGCGCCGACGGGAGCCGACGAGGGTCCGGGAGCCAATGGGACGGGTTTCTGCCAACGGCGGGTGCGCGCCTGGTGTTGCGGGGAACAGACCCAGCAGTGGGGACCCCGCCGCCCGGCCCGGGGTGGGCCCGGGACTGCGGCGTGGCTGGGAGGCAGAAGGCCCGGGATGCGGCGGGGACCCCGAGGAGGCCCCGGGGCGGGGTCTGGCGCCAGGGCCCGGCGCAGAGGGCAGAGGGGCCCCCTCCGGCACGGGAGGCGGGCGACCGAAAGAGGCGAAAGCCCGCGGCACCCGGGTTCCCAGGCGGTCTCCCCCGTGCAGGTGCTGACCAGGCCCGACCCTGCTTGGCCTCCGAGGTCAGACGGGATCAGGCGCGTTCAGGGCGGCGTGGGCCGGAGACCGTGTGGGGAGGCCCAAGGCCCATGGACCGCACGGCCAGGGGGATCCGCTCCTGCAACCGAAGCCCTAACCCTAACATTAACCCTAACCCTAATTCTAACCCCACCCCTAACCCCACCCCTGACCTGAACCCAAACTCTAACCCTACCGCTACTCCACTCCAAGAGATGCGCGTTCGGCTGGGCAGCCGTGACAGCAGGGTCCATGATTTGCACTGGTAACAAATTTCCTGGTGACACCGACGCTGCCAGGCTGCAGACCACACTTTGAGAAACGCTGGAGAAACGCTAAGAGGTTTTGTTAGTTACAGCCCCGAGGCCTCATGGTTGCACCGACTGTCTGTAAAGACACGAAAGGCCAAGGACGACAGCATCAATGTTTTATTTTACGCTTCTCTGATCCAGGGAATCCAAACAGAGGTGTCTGCTAACAGAGAAAGAGGAAACTACAATCAAGGCAGTGGCAAGATTAAGCGCTGGGAGCAGAGGGAGGGGTGTGCGAGGCCCCGTCCTGGGCAGGCTGCTCC